CTGTATATTTGAAAAGCTGCAGCATCTGAAAGAGACACCCACCGACTCTTTGCATAACACCTTTTTATAGCACCTATTTACCTTGAAATGATGTTGCCAAGTAACAACATCCTGATTCTGTTTTGTGTATGTGTGGGTGGATGACTGTGTGTGCATGGGCGGGTGTGCTTCTGCCTGCTTGCAGGTGTGTGTGTGTGTGTGAGTGAGTCAGTGATGGATGTTCTAAAGTGCCATTATGGGCTCTAAAAGTGGGGATCTAACAGAGGCCGGGCAAATTACTTCAAGTCCTTTTTGCTCTCATGCACGGCTGATGCTGTAAAAATGTGTGGCCGTGAACTCATATATTACCACTGCACATGAATCCTTAATGCTGATAATGCCCCCCTGCCTTGCAAAGGGCAAAACAATTTATGATGCAGTGATGCTGTAGATTGCACCTGCTTTTCCTGCATCACTCACATCTTTTCCACATATTCTCCATCCCCGCTCTTGTCGGTACGAGCTGCTTAACTGACACATGTATATCAGTAATCCCCTTCTTAGTGAATGGGATTAATATTTAATTCAAGAAGAGCCTTTTATCAATAACTCACGATGCATCCATTGTTCTTTCTATTAGGATGGCTTTTGCAGCTTTTGCCAGATCGAAAGGAACGTTAAGTGTGTTAATGCAGTCGACTGAGGAGATAGGATTGTCTGAGACTTATTACAGTGCAGTCAGAGGTCAGCGGGGCGACAATGACCCATGATTCAATTTGCAAGAATTTCCATGCATCGAGTTTAACATATATTTCTATTAGTCTATAATCTAAATAGAGAAATTATGCAGCAAAATAAGATTTAATAATTCAACTTTCTCATCAAAGTCAGTTGAAACTGGTCTCTGTACGCCTTTGTGCTTTGTCTTTGAGGCCCCAGTACATAAAACAAAAAACCAACCAACCAACCAACCAACCAACCAACCAACCAACCAACCAACCAACCAACCAACCAACCAACCAACCAACACCAATTCACACCAAAACCTTTACTGTTACGTGTCTTTTATTAACTTTTATTTGTGTTTAAACTGCTATGTTCACTGTTCATAATGTTCCTAAAACAACGAAGCTCATATTAGATAAATAAATGCATGATTTATTATGCAATATTTGTAAGCGTACACTTCCTTGTATCTTTATTGGTTATCTTTCAGCATTGAAAATTCCAACGACACCCTTATTTTTGTGTGTTCTGGATCACAGTATCCGGAATTTTGTCTGGATCAGGATCAACCTTTGACACCTCATAAAACTCATTGAGATCCTTTTGTGTAATTTTTTACGAAAGACTGGCCATTTTTATAGAGATAAATGCAAAAATTCCAAAATTTGCCCTATCTCACAATGATAAAGAATCCTTCAAAAAATTACTGGATCCAGAAGGCGATTCGGATCACCACCAAAATGTAATGGGATCCTCCTGGGGCTGAGACACACCTCTGGTGAAAATTTCAGGTCAATCCGTCTGTAACTTTCTCCGTAAAGTTGCTAACAGACAAACAAACGCTACCAAAAACATAACCTCCTTGGCGGAGGTAACAAAAGCCTGTCTTGCACTGATCCACTGCTGTGCTGATCCAGGATTACAGGGAAGACACAAGTAGTGTTGTGTCGTTCGTGAATGATTCATTCAAAAGAACCAAATCTTTTAAAGTGAACGTACTGATCCGAATCACTACCTCAAGTAATTAATTTGTTTCTCACTTCAGTAAAACTGTCAGTTTTTTTTTTTTTTTTTTAACTGCTAAATTGCCACCACAACAACTTGCATACAATAGGACACAGCTTGTTACAAGTAGTGCATAAAAACTGCAGCATCGTATCATTGCAGCGGTTTGCGAGGGTACGATGCATGTTCAGTATGAATTCTTCTAAACGTTCAGTGAACGAATCACTCACTGAGCCCAATTTACCAAGCAGACCTGATAAATCGCATACCATCAGACAGTGCACCTAAAACATCATGACTTATAAACAAGTTCATTTTTACAAACTGTTTGCCAAAGCAACACAGTCAAACACTCTTGTCTCCCGGTCCCAGAAGCTATGAATTGAACTGAATCCTGAACTGTTCAGCTGTGTATCAGTTCAGGAAGTCGGAGTCGCAGGCTCCTCCTGCCAAGCGCTGAGTGATTTGGTGATTCAGTGAACGAATCTTTTGAATGATTTTTTTTAGTGAACTGATTCTAGTGATTCAGTCCATCTAAAAGAACAGCTATGCCCATCACTAGACACAAGTGTACCCTAAAATCTACAATGCATGCCGAAACATATGTAGCAAAGAGATGGATACTGTCTTGCATGCAAAAAGAAAAAAGAAAAATTATATATATATATATATATATATATTTTTTACATTGAGCTTGTAGAAAGGTTGCGTCACAAGGTTGTAAGAGAGCTGAAATGGCTCGTAGTGCTTTTGTAGACACTCCAACAACGCAAACACACAAAGAGAACCACTCATAACCACAGCACACAAGCTAATGAGTCAGCACAGAAAAGTGGCGCCACACAGTATATATAAGCTCTTCACACCTGTTCCCAATCAGGAGCAATTAGGCTCACACACACACCTGACTCAGCTCTGTGATGACTCCCCCACTAATAAAACAGAAAGAGGCCCATCACAAAAACTAAAGGAGAGTGTGCTTTACTGTCAGGGCCCCTTAACTTCCTGCATGTGGAGACATTTATGTTTCACACCTGACGCTAATACCCTCAAAACAGTTTCAGGAATTAAAACTTAGGATATGAAAAACTATCATGAAAAGTATTCATTTCAGTCTTTTTCATAAATATCAAAAATCCTCACAGGAGCTTTAAGATGGCAAAACATCAATGATTTGTGACCTCCGCACATGCCTACATTTTATTAATATTTGGACAGTATAATTTGTTTATTTTCTTTTGTAAGACATACATTTTGTTCTTCCCGAGGAGATTAGGTATGCACACACAGTCACTGCTTCTAAACCACATCTTAAAACTCATTTTTATAGACTTGCTTTTATGTGATTTTGTCTTCCTTAAAGCCTTTTACTTTTCTTATTCATGTTTTATAATAGACCCCTTGGTCTCAGGTTTTTGTGGTTGCGTTCCTGTTGGCTGGGTATCATGGGCTCATATAATGTCTTCATTTTATTGACGTCTCAGCTCATGTGACATTCATCAAAGCTTTTATGTCTCCCAACAATTTTTATTTTAGTTTATTTTATTTCTTCGTTGCCAGTCATGTGTCATTTCCCTTAAGTGTTCTCTTGTTATGTTGTTTTTATATTCTTTGTCTTCCTGCATGTTAAAGCACTTGCTCTTGTTTTTAAAAGTGCTATATAAATTAAGTTGTTCTTCTTCTTCTTCTTTTTCTTCTTCTTCTTCTTCTTATTATTATGTAAAAGGTGTTGTCTCAGGTTTTCATTGATCATATTTCCATAAATAAGTGAATATTAGTGTAAAGATGATAGCAAAACTATGACGGGCGTGCTGTGATGAGGGTGGACATTGGCTCCACCTAGTGGCGTATTTACTCGTCACTCTTTATGCATTTACGTCATCACACTTCCTCGAGGTGTGGAAATCCGTGACCCACCACTTTTGTCAAGTTTGCCAAAGTCAGACTAAAAAGCTGTACTGGGGATATCTGCCTTCAAAATAAAACATCAAGTCAGAAAATTTACCTTAATCTCATTTTTTATCATCAGGGCGGAGAACGAAAACTGGCACATAAAGATAAAAAGGAATTTAGAGCTCCTATGGTGTTTTTTTTTTGTTTGTAAAATGGATTTAAATTCATACAGATGCTTTTTTGTACAACACACAAAAGCAAACAAGACAAAGTTTGCAATTTCCTTCAGAAGCAGAGAAAAGAAAGAGGAAGAAAAAGGAAGAAGAGAAAAAATGCCAAGATAAAGGTATGCTTGCATGTCATGGAACGTTAATCAAAGAGATTTGTGAAGGTGTGTGAATGATTAACAATCAACGTTATCTGATCTGATAAATCTGAAATAATTCTCTGTAACTCGCAGCCTTAGATCCTCTGGTGAAGGCTTCCTGGTCGTTCCAAAGTCGAGGCTTTGAGGCTGGAATGACCAGCCAGAGGAGATAAGGCGTGCAGAGACAGTCACTTCTTTTAAGTCAAATTTAAAAACTTACTTTTACAGACTTGCTTTTATGTGATGCCGTCTTTTACCTTTTATCTTTATCTTTTATCTGTCATCTCTTATCTTTTTTTGGCCTTGCTGTCTTTTTAGCTTTTGTTATACTTGTACTCTTTCCTTAATTTACCTTTTAGGCTTTTTATTGTTCTATCTCTTGCTCATTTCTGTTGCTCTATTTTATCATTACTTTTATTATCAGGATTACCTGTTATTATTTTATTATCATTGTTGATATTGCCTTTTATATTTATCATCCTGTTTCCGCTTTCGTCCTCCCTTTTGATTGCATTTTCCTTTTTTCTTAACTATTTGATGTTTTTATTTAGTGGTTGGTGGTCCTCATGGTCTCATTTTATGTTACATGGTACTTGTATTGTCTGGATTCCTTATGACATGAATATGGCCCTCAATCCCGTTTTTAGTGAGCTTTTTTTTTTTATTTGTCATTTTCCATGTGCTCTATGACTACATGTCAAAGCACTTTGTAAACATCTGTTTTTTAAAAGTGCTATACAAATACAGTTCTTCTTCTTATTATTATCATCATTATTATTATTATTATTTTTATTATTTTTGGCAGAAATAGAGGGCCCCATTGATGCTTGGGCCGGCCCTGTCTCAAATTAATTCAAGGGGGTGTCCGCTGTTTAGCTGATAAAACAGCCCATTTACTATAACAACCATTTATTATAAATTTACCTCTCACAAGTCAGAAGACAAATGTATTTTTAATCTGCATGTTTTTAACCCGTTCCTCATAGTTTCTCGTTAATAGCACAATTTATTTTGAAACAGCTGAAGGGAAGTTTGAGAGAAATAGAGTTACCTTTACAGTGTTGGTTATCGTCCCACTAACAACGGTATTTTTACAGTGTGTGTGTATTGCAGCCGTCGCTTTCATCGGTCTGTATCCTCTTATTTGACGTTGTGTGAGTGGCTCCTGTCCGTCAGTACGCACTTCGGGACAACCACGAGTTAAAGCCGATTTCTCTATCTCTCTCTCGGCTGGCTTTCTTGCCAGCTGAACCTCTTCGGGATGGACCCAGCAAGCCGTTACCAAGTGGTGAGTGTGGACGAAACCAGATCAAAACACCGTCTGGGAGCTCGGCCTGCCTGTCACAGGAACATAAGGCCGTACCAGAGTGAACACTATTAGCAATATTTTAACTAAAATGAGTCATATTAAATACATCTCATATATGTTATTCAGCCGCTGAACAGTCACTTTACCCGTATTTTCTCTCCGCTGGCATCTTAAATTGCTTTGTACCGTCTCATTTAGTACTTCCGCATAGGCTAGGCTAACATTAGCAAGGCAGCCAGTATATCTTTGAAGGTCTTATGATTGACTGTGTGCTCAGAAAAATGAACTTTACACAAGAAATTAACAGTGTTTTTACATTTTATGTGTAACCTCGGTTTGCGTTGACCGTATTTTACCGTTAATTCAAATGCCAACGTACGCTAGCTTTAGCAACAGGCTAAAGTCGAAAAGAATAATAAGTCATGATAGGAGAAACAATAAATAGATTCATAAGTTATGAATTATTTATCTATTTTAGTTATTACGTTATGAATCATAACGTAATAACTAAACTGTATTTGTTACAGAAATTCTTCGTTATAAAGTCAGTCAGGTATAACGGTGTTAAATATGAGTGTAAACATAACTTGCAGTTATATGGTCAAAGCTGGAGGTTGCCTGACATAAACATAGTTAATAATGGTTTAGAAATTCTTGTAACTCTCAAGATTCTGGCAACCTAGAAAAACGGTAAATAACTGTATTGTAATGACATGCTTTGCAAACTCTCCCTAAACTTATAAAGAAACTTACATAGTTATTAATGGTTTAGAAATGCTTGTAACACTTAATATTGTGGCAACCTAGAAAAATGGTAAATTACTGTTTTTTTTAACGACATGCTTTGCAACCTCTCCCCAAACTTATAAGAAAACTTATTTTTTTTTGTCTTTGTTTTTTGCTTGTTGGACAGGCGCAATGATTACCCAATGTTAAGTTAATCTCTAGAGCAAAATGAAGTTTGTTTTTTATTGAAAAAGGCAGTAAATTGAACGCACACATGTGTGTCCCTGTTCTGGGTCTAGTAATAATCCCCCATGATCCAGTATCAGCCAAACCAAATCAGTAGTGTGCTTTAACCCCACAACTCTGTCCAAAGTGCAGATTTCATTGACAACAATAACTGGAAATGTTTTGTTAAATAACACTGAACACTTATTGACTTCTGGATAGTGGGCGAAGTTATTTGAATAGTGTTCGATTGAAAACATCCAGGGAATTAGATAAGAAATTATTTAATGTTATACGCCTGCTTTCCAGTGTCTTCATTCAAGCACAAGTTCTCCCTCATTCAGCTCTTGTTCTTGTTTGAATAATGTTCAGGTTTCTGCAAATATGGGACACAGCTGCTTTTTGAGTTTTGGGGATAGTACGACTCACGAGGAGGCTTGTGGCTACATTGTTAAGATCTTATGTAATCGCCTGTGCACAGGGGAGCATTAGGCTTTGTCCTTGGTTCCTAGCCAGTCGTCAGCCGCTCGTTCAATCGCTGCCTCGCAAAGCAAACATGTGTTGGTGGAGTTTTGGAAGGTAGTTTGAACTCCAGGGTGTTGTTGAGAATATGTGCTTGGACAGAGATGTTTTTTCATCCTATTAGTCATCCGTGACTTTTGAGTTATCATGCTGACTTTAGATGTCATTATAAGGGTGGTTCCCCTTTGTGGGTTATACTACGCAAATATTATTTCACTTACTTGATGGAAAAAGTGACATAAAGGAATGATCTGTTCTCTTCAATATATTATTATACTTTAACGCAAACTTAAAGGACTAAAATATGTTGTGAATCAGTGTATTTGAAGGGTTGTGATCGAGATGTACTTCCCAACCTAGTTTGTTATTCCTAACAGTGTTTGTGTACAGTTCCCTACAACGTTGTACAGATATTTATGTCAAGGCTATGAACACGTTGAACCTGCTCAGCCACATTGACTCTGCTTGAGGTAATCTCGGAGCGTAACACATGATTAGTCAGTGGTTGTTATCTGCTATTACTGAGAATTTAGGTAAGATACCATTTTGACTAAACTCTGACAACACAGCCTCATGTGTGCAGAGTTTTGACCTTTTATTAAACGATTAGGGAACAAAAACATTTGTTTGGTCAGATTAAGCTTCATTTGAACACAAGGTTACAAGTTGAATCATTGTCAAGGCCTCTCTTAGTTTGTGTTAACTTTCCTCACGGATAAATTGTGGGAGGAAACCTCCCCCCTCTTACATTTCTGCTCTGGAACCACCATGTCCCTGTCACCCTCTGTAATTTCAGACGGCTTTTGGCACTTGGTTAGGTGAAAATTAATATACTTAAGTCTGCAACCAGCTCTTTCAGCTGCAACACGCACGCTCGCTGACTGATTGCATACGTATCGCTTTACCAAAGACCTTTTTGTGTCGACATACTGTTGAGCCTCTCATCTGTGTGCTGTGTACAATCTCAGGCGTTCTGATGAGGGCAAACAGTGTAGCTGTGACCCTGCTCGGCAAACAGACCTTTAATACTTTGCACACTATGTGTAAATCAGTGAAACTAGCTTATCGTATAGGTATTTACAATAATAAATAGACTGAGTAAGGTGAAACAGCAGAAATGACTTGGAAGCATTGAGTAGACGGTATCATGCGTGCCGGTTCTCTTTTCTAAAAGCAAAAACAGCCAGTTTTGTAGCGTAATGATAACTTGATTACATTAATGCTGCTATTAGAAACCAGATCTGGTGTCACACTGTTCAAATGCGCAGAAATCCCCCGAATACAGCCATCAAATCAAACACTAGCTACTGTCGTCAATTTCAAGCGCCAACACTCTTTCGCCTGACTCAGTACGTTTACATGACACTCGAGAAAACAGAATTATTGCCTTATTCTGATTCAAGGTCCTTACACACCAGGGCCGACATGAATATAGAACGCGGAAGTACGAAATATTCTGAGGCGAATTTTGACGCACTTGACTATACACATCAAGCCCGATTCGATTTTGAGACTTTCCAGGGGAAAAAGACCCATCCCGGGGAAGACTTTTCCGGGGGAAAGTTCCGCCTCCTTCGCCTCTGATTGGCTAGAAAAGCTGGAAGCATCATCACATGCTCAAGCCAAATGGTCAGCACTTATAGCCAATCAGAGGCGATAAGATAAGCACATGAAACTATGGTAACAACCATTAGCTTACGTTAGCACAGTTACATGACTAGTTAAAGTTAAAGTTAAAACAAAGACGTTTAGCAAACTGTTAAAGCACACAAACCATCGTCATATAAGAAATCCGACGCTATGACTCTCCACAAGTTGTCCTTCAGGTCGTATCTTTGTAATGTTTGTGTCTTTAATCAAAAAGCACTCTGGTCTCCAACACATAAACAATCAGCCGGTCGGCCATGTTGGATATACCAGTGAATCTGACGTTGCAACAACACGCAATCTGATTGGTCAGAAGTGGACACACAGTATGTGAAACTTTAGAAAAATCAGCCATGATCCGGAAAAACGTCGCTGATGTTAATGCTTGTTTCGACTGGATACGGGTCGAAAATAAAAAATTGACGTTGGAAATAATCGCATGACAAAAACGGTCCCGGTGTGATTAAGACCGGACAACTGAAGTGCATGTAAACACATTAGTCTGACTATAATCGGAGTCAGGGAATTCCGATTAAGACACCCCGATAATGCGATTTGACTTAGATTTTCTTTACCATGTAACCAGCGTAGTCGGAGTATGATCGGACAATGCATGTGCGAGTGCGCTATGCCCCCGTAACCCCGGAACAAAAACACCAGAGAAGAGGAGTAGCGTGCATCACATCTGCAGAAAAAGTAGCGCGTACATCATGTATGACAAAAACAACGACGTACGATGCTCAATCTTCTTGCTCGAAAATGCCCAACAGCATTTGAAGCCACTTCTGACGTCTGGCACGGACTTGCTGTTGTCGTTGACAGTTGTATGGGGTCGGAAACGGTGCAGCTGAAAAGACCGATATCACCCCCTAGTTTTGGGGAGGAGGGCACGTTCACGTCAATAATAAAACCGAATTATGAGCTCAGTCCGATTAAGCTGTGCATGTAAACGCACTGACTAATCTTCCCTTCTTCTACAGTTGCACAATGAGGACGACTCTTCAGAGGCGTCAACCAGCGAGCAGCAGCCATGCACTTCAGCCACCGCCCAGGCCGCTGCGTCCAGCCAGGGCCAGAGCCAGACCCAAGCCCAAGCCGAGGCCGGCCCCTCTCCTGCTCCAGCAGCCGCAGAGCCTTCTGGATCAAGGACTCAGGGGGAGGGAGATGCACCACCGCCTCCTTATGCTTTTATTGACCTGGGAGCGACTGCTGCATCGCCTGGTCAGTATGAACGAGATCTCTTTTGTTCACACTTCGATTTCCACGTCTAAAATACCTTTCAGCGTTTTAATCTTTTTACAAAGTGTTGCATGCTTCCTAAAATAGACACAGCCATTCTTGTGTGGCTTTCTTGTGGCGGTTAGTGGAATGTCTGCAGTCATGAGCCAATTGGGATTACCATGGCAGCGTTACCACATTTTCTTTTTGGGCCAATTTAACACTTTGAAGCCCCCCTTATGTAACTTTGTCTTTCTTCGAATGTTCACGCAGAAACCAGTTTCCAAGGCGACTTCCCTGTGCCTCCTCCCTACAGCGTTGCAACCTCACTGCCCACATATGACGAAGCGGAGAAGGCTAAAGCGGCCGCCATGGCTGCCTCCGCTGTGGAGGTGATGCCTCGGGTGAGGACACGCACACACACGTAACACACACTGCAAAATCCCCTTCTTGTTTAGAGGTCATGTGTAAACCTCTTACTTCTAAGTGTGTTTGAGGGGGTTGTTAAAGTTTCTAATCTACCAAAACGCCTCCACATGGGGAGTTTAACATGTAGATTTATGTGTTAACATGTTAGGATGATGAGTTCCCCCCGAGAGATGATTTCAGCGACGCTGACCAGCTTCGAGTTGGGAACGATGGGATCTTCATGTTGGCTTTTTTCAGTAAGTGATACATTTTAAAGAAATGTTTGGTTAAAGTTTGTAAAGGTGGGAACAAGTGATTCTCAACTTGTCAGATAAACTGGGAATCATCACTGTTGGTCTGAAGTGACAGACAGTGATTGGAAATGTCTGACCGTGGGTTTTTCACACCGGATTTCCATATCAACCCTTTTGTTTCTGTTTGTCCTTCCAGTGGCCTTCCTGTTCAACTGGATCGGGTTCTGTTTGTCCTTCTGTCTGACCAACACCATCGCAGGACGGTACGGAGCCATCTGCGGCTTTGGCCTTTCTCTCATCAAGTGGATTCTCATCGTCAGGGTATGCACAGGAAATCTCTCGCAGAGAACCTTATTTATAACTGGTTATGAAATATGTTCGTATGACTTATGTGAAGAAAATTCAGATCCTCATACTCCCCTTTGTCTTTTTTTTCTGAGCCATCATAGCAGGGCTTGACACTAACTTTTTTCACCAAGGGCACATGTGCTCCTAAGTTATAAAAGTAAGGAGCGCACAAAGAACTTTAGGGGCACAATGAAAATTGATCAAATAGTAGGTGTCTTATTGCTCAACATAAGTACTAGGGCCCGACTGATATGGAATTTTTGGGGCTGATGCCAATACTGATTATTTTTAAAAATTTTTATTAAGTTATAATATATATATATATATATATACATTGTAGATATCTACAGTATACTATATACTATAGATATACTGTAGGCTACTGCTCTTCACGCCGTCAGGAAGACCGACTGGAGTTTATTTACTGTTGAGTCGGACCGCTTTCCTCCGTGCGTCCCTGAGCTGCCTGCTTCAGATCCGTCACTCTGCTGTGCTGTGAGGTAGTTCGTGGATGAAGATTGTCATGAGGTCGCCATCTACAGGATAAGTCAGGGACCTTTTCAAATGGCGGAAAATTTCCGAAGTGAAACCAAATTTTATTTCTGAAATTATTGGCGAAAATCGGCGAGTTTTGGCCGATTACCGATTAGTCTCAAACGGGCTGATTTAATTGGCTCGCCGATAAATATGAAATCAATTTTGGGGTCAGTTGGTCACGTTGACATGGAGGCTATTGAAGGAATCCAGCCTCTTTTGAGAACATCAACCGGTAATTTATTGACGGTCCCTTATTCAACACCTGACGTTGACAGTGAGGGTGCTAGTAGCGAGTCGATTTAACTGCGCTGCTGTGTCTATTCCCGGTTATGGAGAGTGAGAAGACACCAGTAGATTCGCAGTAAATGTCCATCAGATATCTTACCTAAAACTAACTTCACCGCGGTGTCGATTTAACGGCGCTGCACCTGCTATTCCCGGTTGTGGAGAGTGAGAAGACACCAGTAGATTCGCAGTAAATGTCTGGCGGATATCCTACCTAAAACTAATTTCACCGCCATATTTACATGAAAAAACATTTGTTTTACGCACACATGTGCCCCTAAATACATTTTGCAATTCGCACACATCTATTTTTGGTCGCAAATGCGAGTGAAACTGTCAAGCCGTGCATAGTCTGTGTGTTTTCAAAAGGTGACTGTGAGAAGTCGAGTTTTTTCCCACTCCAGAGCTACGCTGTTGTAACACATGAAAAATGTAGTTTGGAATCTTGCTAGTACATTATGTATCGCCTCCCCTGAGAACGCATTGTCTTGACATCAGCTTCAAAACCTGTCTGATTCAGTGTAACAATTTGTGAACCAACTATTCCATGGGCGCTTATGCATCCCAGTACCATCAGGGTGTTTCTAGATCACGTTGTGAGGTCAAACCTGGTTTTTGGATGAGATTTTTGAGCCCATGCGGCGATTTACACTTTAGAGCCATGTCTGTTTTACTACCTTAGAGTCCAAAGATCCTTAATAATGCTGATTTTATTCCTCTTCTCAGTTCTCGGACTACTTCACCGGCTACTTCAATGGTCAATACTGGCTCTGGTGGATCTTCCTGTTGCTTGGTAAGCGTGACACACTCGTCTAGTCTCACTTTCCTGATTTGAATCAGAAATGTCCGCTTTCGAATCACCCCGATTTCCTCTCCACAGGTCTGCTGCTGTTCTTCAGGGGTTTCGTTAACTACCTTAAAGTTCGCAACATGTCAGAGAATATGGCCACCTCTCACAGAACACGCCTCTTCTTCCTCTACTAAAAGTAAGGAGCACATGTCATGAATGAAATCACTCTATTTCTTCTCGCTCTTATGATTCTCATTCCTCTCTCCACAGCAGTCGTCGCCATCGCCATTCCTTTCCAATGTGAAGTTCCTTCTCTCCCCCTCAAATGACCTGACCTGAGGAGTCTTTCAGTGAAGAGAGGAGACAGGGAAGGAATAGAGGAAAGAAGTAGGGAGAAAGTGTTAACCAGTCTCATAAAAAAACGCATAAAAAGACTCCGCTTCTGCTGAACCGAGCCCTGAAACAAGTCTTTAATGATCCGATCTCTCTTCCTCAGCTTTGTTTTCGTTCGCCATTATCCTTTTTGATTCAAAAGCTTGTCGGCGAAGTCCGCTCCGGGATCGCAAACCTGTCGTGTCTCTCTAGAGGCGTTTAGAGATGTTTAACCTTCAGCCAACCCTCAGTTTGACGACAGCTGATCCACAATATGATATCCAAATGAAATTTAAGAGACAAAGACACACTTAGTAAAAGCACAACTCTATGAATGAGACAGTGTCTTTGATTCGAAAGTATCCGCAGTTCATTCGCGCTTTCCCCGTAGAAACCAAACCGTGACATTTATCGGCTCCTGACTGAAAGAGAAATCTCAAGAATATCTCGAGGATTTCAAATTAATCGCAGCTTATTCGCAGTCGTGTACTTCACTCAGTGTAGCATGAGACAAAAATATCAAAAACAGTTTTAACTTCTAGGTTTGCCATTCCACCTTTTTTTTTTGTTCATTTCCGGGTGTTTTGTACGAGTCTGACTTTATTTTCGATGTGGCATTTTTAACGGTGTGCTCTCAATCTCAAGCTAGAAATGCAAGCCAGGCTGCAAACGGGAGGGATTTTCATCTTAAAAGGCGCCTGAATGTGTATGCGTGGGGAACAGCACATGAATGCATAGGTCAGTTTACATATCACAGACCTTAATGCGTCTAGTCTTTAAACCAAACTCAACTGTAGACTCACTGAAACCCCCGTCTTTTGACCCCGATTGGAAGGAATTAGACGTCTTTTTTTTCTCAACAACCTCTGAGCTTTTGAACAAGTTATTAGGCCGACGTATCGGAGGCTTTGCTTGCTTTAAAAGGAGCGAAACGGCTCAATGAAAGTCAGAACAATGAGCATCTTATGCTACAGTGCGCACAAAGACATCTCTATCAAGATCAACTTTAAGGAGCTGTAACAATGTTTCGACCTATGCAGTAAAAACCACCTTCGACGGTGGAGGGCATCAGTTTAAACCAACCAAATCTGGTCATCTCTTTCGAACCAGCGTATCCTAATCACACTTTCACAGCAGCTCTCCTCTTTTCTCATCTCCACTTTGATTTGCCAAACATATCTGGCAAAACAGCGTCTGTAAGCTACGGAGGAGTGCAGCTTTCCAGTAATTTGCTCCTTGGATAATCAGTGTTTTTTTTTTAAGCCGCACAGGATACTCAGTCCATTCAGAGCTAAGTGGGCCCGGAGCCTGGACTGTGTGGGAGCTCAGCCTCTTGCGCATCTCCTGCTTCTTGAAAATTCAGCATTTTTAAAACACATTGCAGTAGCTGTTGGCGAGTAACGCTCTTTGGGAATTAAAGAGTCATATGCAATTTGGTTATTTGATGGAGTCATCAGATGTCGAGCCTAGTTCTGGTTCTTGATTGAAACAAGCTGCACAGACAGAGCACAGACAAGAAAGTGTGTTTTTGTTTACTTCACTCACTTGCCAACAAAGTCATTTTAATCACGAGTAAACCAGAGAAAAACGCAACGCAATAAAAGCGAGTCAGATGTGACTGGTTGTGCATGTCGTGCATGATTAAGAGAACCCCAATGTGTACCTTTCTCTGGGATTTTCTGATTAGATTAGATTTTAAAATTCCTGTTTCCTTTCATGGAGCCAGAAGCTTACGGCGATGAAACACCGCTTCTGTTTCATCCCGTGCGTGCGGAGAGAAAACTTACGATGCGAAGAACAAAAAGCGGCGAATGTCATTTCTGGTGAGTTCAATAAGCGATTACGTCGGGGGCACACTGTCCAGCATGAATGGAGTATGAGTCGTCTTTGAGCTTGTACGCCACGATAATGGAACCTAACTGGACAAAAAGACATGCTTTTTTGATTTTTGATTTTTTTTTTTTTTTTTGGTCATCCAGAAAATGAAATGTATATAACAGCTTATGCCAATTCATATTTGCACTTTGAAGAATTTCTGTACAGTATGATTTGTGAATCTGCTTAACTTGGCGTGGTGGGTAGAGAAAAGTTAAAACCGTGTTATCTTAGCCATCCGAGCTTCGAACTGGAATTCTTAATCATCCCAAATGGATAAATTGCCTTTGCACTTTTTATTTTACAAATCGATACTATTGTTATTGTGTGTCTTTCTTTCCGTTGCTTTTCGCCTAAACTGTGACAGCTGCAGTATTGCCCTTCCTTTTTTTTTTTTATGCTTTTCTCTCTCTCTCTTTGACTGGGGTCATATCCCTCCGAAGCCTCTTTCAGCAATATCATGATCTTTTGACAAATTAAAAGCTTTGCTGCATGATTTGTCCACCTGAATGAGTGGGGTAATATAAGGATTAATCAAGTACAAGTACATTTCTTTGTTTGTAAATAAAATAAATGAAAACGAAATAATGACGGCAGCCAAAGTATTTTTTTTGTTCGAGATAATCCTTGTAACATCTTATGAAACAGTTGTTATGCATTTATTGTAACTGGATTAAGTGGACAGAATGTCTTGCAAAATGCCAATAAAATTCAAAAGCCTGCCAGTTAAGTTTCGTGTGGGTTGAGTTATTTTCCACGTCTTGGACTCATGAATCTCTCTGCTGCTGTTTGCATACAAGCCCACTAGATGGAGCTAAATCCTCAAAGGATTCTGTTTACAGTGCCACCAGAGGCTCAGCACACTTCCGTTAAATGGGTCAAAGCTTTTAACAGATAAACTCTTGAAAGAAAGAAAGAACTTTTTTTTTCTTCTTCCCTGATTTGTGACAAACCTCATGACCAAAAGAAGCTCGGCTGGAACTAATCTCCACCTCAAACTGGGATTTTCCACTCTTTTATACCAGCTTCAATACAGTGAGGATTTACAACTTATGTCTGTGTTGCAGTTTTATCATCTAAATCAAAATGAATATCAAAAATAGAAATAAAAGACACAAGTTCATCATCATTGACATGGCTGTCCAGCATGAGTCTGGCTCTGCTTGAGGTTTCTGCCTGTTAAAGGAAGTTTTTCCTCTCTACTGTAACTTGCTAAATGCTGCAAATTGCCACTGTCATGTGGTTTTCAGGATTTTCTCTTTTCAAGACTTGTTTCACAACACAGCTACTGCTAAACCATCTTAGCAGAAAAAGGTCAATTATTACTGAGAACTAAATTAAAGGCCAAAAGTCGGTAAAAGTCTGTTTAGAATCCAGGTTCTTGGATGTTGTTCTTCTTTGTTTTACCACAAGAGGGCACAAGTTATACATGGGCTCCCCATTAATGTGACTTTGTAGAGACAACTTTGCTGTAGTTCAAAAATTACGTTCAGTGCTGTCCACAGAGACAAGCCTGAGGTTCCTGTGATCTTCATGCCGGGGCCGTCAAACATTCACGGAATAAAAAGAAAACTGTAAGTTTCAAAACTATGAAACTCTGATTCCTCCTCTACCTCAAAGTAACGACAGTGACATCTTGTGGCAATTTCTTAAAAGTGAAAAAATAACCTCACTGTCAAAATTGCAAAAGGAATGTTTTCATGTCCAATTAACTCTTCAACACATCATCATTTTTACTAATTTCTTTTCTACACGAGAGAGAAGCAGGAGTTGTTCCTGTTGAGCAAAAAATAACGAATCTGCTCCTTAGTCAAAGTACTTCAAGGTAGATGGCAACTCAACTTCAAAACCGTCTGGTAAAAAAAAAATTCCAGATGAGACTGTTTTCACCCGTCTCGAAGATATCAACAACATAAAGTCAGTTTCGTCTGCATTCAGAACAAGCTACACTTGAAAAAGCTGATCTTGAACTAAATTAAATGCATGCTGGAGATTTACGTAAGCTTGAACAGGCATAGAGTAATAGTAAAAAGTAGTGGGCCGAGAGCTGATCCTTGTGGAACCCCTTTATAGATTTGCAGCACCAATATACCTTTGAATTTAACGGTTTGGGTTCAACCAGTGAGAAAGTTGGCAAACCATCCAGCTGTATGTTCAGGAAACCCAATGGCATTATGGGCTTTAAGTAAGACTGTAATTAACGGCATCGAAACCCTCTACGCTGAAAAAATTGTTTTATTTTGGGTTTGTCAGAAAAAAAAGAGAACTTTAAACCTAGGAAAAAAAGGAAAGAAAAGTAGAAGCCCACACTGAGCACAGAGGCCTATTCACATAATGGGTTTATACTACCTACTTGCTTGCCCGCCTGCCCCCTGGCCCCAATCTGGCACTCTCTCTTTCAGAAGGCTTTAATGACTGACCCATTTACATAACTCTCTTCCGATTTTCAAATGTTTCCCTTCATGAGGCCCTCCCCTGTCTCCAAACTGATTCCACTTTTCCTTTCTTGCACTGTGCATCTCTATCTGAGAGTCTCTTGCTCTATTTGGACCAGGTGGAGTCTCATCAGAGCCCAGTCTGGCCTAGAGTAAACTCACAAGCAGAGAGCGAGAGAGAGAGAGAGAGAGAAAGGTCTCAAGAGAACTGTGCTGATAATCTCTGTCAACAGCATATCTGAAGGCCTCGGCTGCCTGGCTACTGCCAAGGGTATGTGTGTGTGTGCTGGTGAAGTGTGTGACTGCTTCTCCATGGTCACCCAGCAGCTTCCAAATGTGTGGGCGCCTGATAGTCAACTGCTTTATACAACTTCTGAGGCTGTTCCTATAGCATGGAGGTAAAAGTAGGAACCGATTGGTTAGTCTCAGCACAAAAAGTGGAAATGGGCCCTCTTATAGGCTGAACATGACATGTACTAGCATCTTGTTTTACTTAGCATACTGTAATGAGAATAATTCAATATCAACTTAGGCTTATGCACTTATGTGACCACAGGCATTGTCTTAAAAAGATTGTTATTCACAGCATGTGGAGCTGTTGATCATGCATTATACCAGAGTGTGTACTATCAATCCTGCCGATTGTGGAATCAGTCATATGTGAGGAGTGGGTGGTTTGTTACTCCATGTGATCATCTGCTGTAGATACAGAAAAAGTAGGTGGTCCTTAGTGATGCCTGGCGCAGATGAACATGCACAGTACCAGACCAACATGGACGAATGTCTCCCAGACCACCTCTCAATCTGGACTGACTGATTGCTTCCAGCACACACTGCCGAGTACTCAAACTTGTGGTGCGATAACTTAGATCTCTTGATTAAAACACCTAAAAACAGTTCCAGTTTAGATCGTTGTTTTGCACGTACAACACATAATGATGCATCCGTTCCCTCGCAACAACAGCAGAGCAACACCTCTGAACTCGTTGGGGAAACGTGCATAACTTTTTTTTTTGGCACAAAGCAGCGAAGCTTTCAAGTGGGCATGAAACATGCTGTTGTGGAAGAACAAAATAACTGAGTGTTCCGCTTTTTGGCAGTGGCATGTATACACACGCCTCTTTTCAGGAGCGACTACAAACAGCGAGGCCTCGGGGCATCTTTCATACACACGTGAAGAAAGGCTTTGGCTTCCAGGACACCTGTCTGCTGTCGAATGTGAAACATATAAGCAAAGGATTGTGGCATTTAACATAACAAACTCATTCAAAAAGCAGGATTTTTTAAGGTTAGATTCCTCGACCCTAACTTGGGGAGAGTACACTGGGACCTACAGGCCAAAGTTTTACAAGAAGATGGGATGTGAATATCTTAGAAAGCGACGAAGGTACAGGTTTAGGTAAAAAGGTTTAGGTGTAGAGAAATCCTTCTTAAAGATAAGCAGAAATTTTTTTTAAATATGCAAAAGTCTGAATAGGATGGTGTGAGGTGGCCAGTTTGTGGACAATGGTTGTTGTGTTTCATGGGAGCTGGGGGTTGGGTGAGCCGCAACGAGAGTGTCGCACATGAACCGGACAATAAAGTTTCAAATAATTTGTATGCATATCACAAGCTTCTTTCTTCCAAAGTCAAAAAGCGCCTCCACTCAAAAATCAGTCTTGCACTCAGGGTTCAAAGAGCAGCTCACTCTCTACCTGATGACATTTCAAGTTTCAAGTCTAAGCGCTCTGGTTTCCGGAGAGACCTACATTCCCTTTAACTCCTTCATGTGTGGAGAGTCATGACACGTGGAGTCGTTGAACTCCTGGAGAGCAAGTTCTTCGTATTTTCACAGTAAACAGACCCTCCAGCAGCTCTCACTCCCTCTCCTCCATCTCTGAACAGTGGCCTCCTTTCAGGGCCATCACTTAAGGGCCCTATTAATAATTTGACAAGTTTTCTCAAAGATTAATTACGGCCAACTTCGAGGCTGCAATTATGCAGGGTGGAGAGACTCTGTAAACCTACAGCTCCATTTCCAGGCCCAATTTTCCACTTATCAAGATGCCAATAGGAAGGAAAGGTTGTCTCGCAGTCTCTCTGATGCATAGGTTGCCATTAGTTTGAAGAAATAAATAACAATTAGCCGCAAATGCTCCTCACTTGGCTTGAAGACAGCTGGGACTGTGGACCTCGGGCCAACCTCTTAAAGCTGAGACAAACAAATCATGGAATTTTTTTTACTAGAACTGGGGTCCAAGTGTAACTCAAATTGTTTAAAGTGATGAAAGTGGCAAATATGTTATTAAAATAATAGTTTCTGGGCTAAAGATCTCGTCCTGCAATCAAGGCAACAGCACCCGAGTCGGCGGGTGCATCTTTATAGCTCCTATATGGAGTTTTTCGACGTTAATGAAATAGACTGAATTTATAACGTAAGAGGCTCACTGAGCTGGTTATTCACATCCAGGTTCGACACACCGACAAAGGGGTTAAATAGTGACATCACACGCCAGTTTGTCACACGCTAGTTTAATACACACCAGTTTGCTAAACGAAAATGAGCGGGTTGTTGTAGAGAGAGGAAAAGATTAAAAGTAAAGGTCCTTTTCACACCAGGAGCGTTTTTTCCGTGCAATCATTTCGGACATCAATATTTTTTTTCGAACCAGTATCCTGTCAATACAAGCGTTCACATCAGCAACGTTTTCCCGTCCTGAGATATTGCGGCATTTATTTTTTCGTTTCACGGTAGATTTTTCCAAAGTTTCGCATACTGTGTGTCCACGTCTGACCAATCAGATTTCGTGTTGTTGTGACGTCAGATTCACCGGTATATCCAACATGGCCAATCGGCTGATTGTTTACGTGTCGGAGAACAGAGTGCTTTTTGATAAAAAACACAAATATTGCAAAGATAACGACCTGAAGGACAAATTGTGGAGAGTCATAGCGTTGGATTTCTCATATGACGATGGTTTGTGTGCTTTAACAGTTTGCCACTGCCAAGTAACTTTAGCTAACCTGTTCAGATACAACATACCATATGTATTTTCACTGTCTCAAACTCAAGTGTAATTAAAAGAAAGTTGAACTGAGGTTTTCCGGCTGTCTGTGATACTAAGCTCAGCATTTACGTATATCTATTTTGTTTGTTTGTTCTTATCATTGGCTGCAGTTGGTCTGGGGTCGAGTACAAGAAACTTTTTGGATCCAGTTTGCACCCTTGGTAGGCAAAGAGAGGTAAGGTAGTGTGAAACAATTTGAGTGGCGTGTTATTGTTTGCGAGTGCGCATTGTCTTGGGTGGAGAAATTGTCTCAGTTGTTATCATTGTGGTTGTTTTAATAGTGAAGTGGTGTTTAAAAATGCAAATATTTAAGTACTGTTTTGTATGATTTATGTTGAAACGAGATTTGTATTTTTTGTCATGTTTTTAGTTTCACAGTACTCAAAGCGAGGAATAAAGAAATAAAGACTGTACCAGTTTAACGCAACGCCTTGTTTATCGATACCGAAGGCTGTAACACATAATGAAGCCTTTAACGGCATGCTTTTTATACCTTAGCTTTTAATCGGCATTAAAATATTCGACAGGTTCGAATAGCGTGGATGTGCTGCCAGGAAGACGGTTGCAAACAAAACTTTAACGGAAGAAGAAATTATGTCAAAAAGTTTTCAGCGATCAACGTACATCGTCTTTTGTCGATTGTTTTGGTTTGTTATAGATCACTGGGAGACGAACAGTCATGAGCTAGCAGACAAGAGTCATGCACTCAAACACTCGAAGCATTCAGCCCAATTAGTGCCGGAGTTTGACCCACTTCTGGCTCCATATGATGAAGTGGTGAACTTGTGACTGCAGGGTGAGGTGGCAAGTAGCAGCCAGACACCATACATCACCACTGAAGAGTGGAAGGCTCCTGTCCTCCACAGCAGATGGTTGGGACAGAGCCAGGCGGCCTGTGCTTAAGTGTGTTCGTGAGTGTGTGGGGGTTAGAGACAGTAGAGAAAGAGCAGAGAGAAAGAGAGAGAGAGAGAGAGAGAGAGAGAAAGGGTGAATACAATGCACTGAGTGTCTCCATGCTGCGGTCTGCCAGAGATAAGAGCCACCTGCCTGTCCCATTCTCCCCTCTGCTGAGTTCACACAGAGCCCTCAATCTCACCACTCCTCATGCACATAACCATAAAGATGAAGCCCATCCATACACTGCATGTTGTCATTATACTGTTATACCGTTACTATTTTTTTCAGGCTTTTCTGTCGTCAAATAATTCACAGCAAACTCAGAGGCTATCCAGCGACCTTTAAGCCGTTATCACGTCCTGCTGCAAAGCTGCATCCTGAAACATTATCATCTTTGTGTGCAGCCAATGAGAAAGCGGGGTATAGAGAGGTGAACCGAGAGCACAAAGCCTAGATTGTTCCTCCTCAGTGTCTGTCCATGATAACAATGACCCATTCATTTTGCCCCGCGATGGGCCCTAATTAATTCCAACTTTACATTCTGACCTACAATCTCCCCCCTGTTCATCCTCTGTTTTCACCCAGACCCAACAATAACTGCGTCAAGCCAAATACGTCCAACCTTGGCAGTCGCCCTCGCCACTTCATGGTCAAAAAGTTGGTAGAAGCGTCTCAATCGGTTGTGTCTCTTATACAAGACTGGATTTGTCTATACTGGGTCACTTTGACGCTCAAGATTGGTGGCGGTCGCCATGTTGGAAATACTGAATCTTTTGGGCTTTGAGGTGGCAGTGGCTATTGGTAGATTGGTCGTCTTTTAGCAGGAAGGTTAGGGGTTTGATCACAGGTTTAAGTGTCCACATGAGGAAGTCTTCTAAGGCAAGACACCTGATCTCTTGGATTCATGGTTGAGGACTACATGGCCATGGGTTTCTAGAGCTGTGGTCAACAAAGCAAAACCAGCATCGTCCAGGAACCCTATACCCCTCAAATATTCAAGATCTGCAATCGAGTAACATTCTTCAGTGAGTTCCTCCTTCCTTCCTTAGCACCTTACTCTTGTCCTACAGCAGCAAACACACAAAAGTGCTCCCTTCTCCTCAGTCTAAGCCCCCGCTCTCCCTTGTCAAATAGAGCTTGGCGCTGTTTCCTCCTTCCTGCCCTACATCCGAATCACAGGGAGCGAGAGGAGAGGAGACGAGTGAGCTGAATAAAGAAGACAAGAGCGGAGGGAGAAAAGGAGGAGTCTGAGAGAAGACGGAGAAAGGATGAAGTGGGATTGAGGGGGGGTCGACATTGAGATAGAAAGGGGAAAAAACGGAGAGGAATATAGGAGGGAGAAGGCATGAAATGTGTGGGAGGAGGAGGAGGAGGAGGAGGAGGGAGGGTAGGGAGGAGGTGGGCGTCTGTGGTGAGGGGGCACAAAATGAAGAACAGAGGCTGCTTTGTCGATAGCAACAGCAAACTTTTTGGGGATCATTTGCTGCTCTCACTCTACGGCCTCAAAGAACTGCAGTCTGAGCTGGAAGTGTGTGTGTATGCACCGGTATGTGTACTGATTGGCGTCAGGATACTAAAGTATGAGCAAAATGAAAAAAAAAACAACAACCCTGATTACGAGATAAATCCCACTCCTCTATTTCTACATAAAAAAGAGCATCAAACGCACCATAACACCAAGTTAGACACCCCCTCGAGAGATGAATGTTGCCGACCGCTTGCTTCTCTAGTTATAGCAACTTTAGTAACGACCGCACGATAGCAATACACAGCGCTCAACCAAAACGCCACTCTATAGCCACAGTAGGGCGGCAGTAGCTCAGGAGGTAGAGTGATCGTCCAATGGCTGGAAGGTTGGCTGTTTGATTCCCCCCTATCCTGAGTTTGTCCGTTGTGTCCTTGGGCAAGACACTTGACCCACCTTGTTCTTTCTTGAGCTACGCCACCCCACTGTAGTTCGTAATGGACTGGCCTGAGGTCTTGCTACAAACAAGCGGCTGCTGGAAGAGAGTAGGTGAGTTGTGTCAAGTCTCTTCGCTAAAGAAATTAGGCAAAGCTAAAAAGATGTTTGGAGGCTAATGCTATGGCTATTATTTGTGGCTATAGAGTGGCGTTTTGATTGAGGTTTGTTTATGGCTCCTCAGACCGCTGTGTATTGCTATTGCTATTGCGGCCGTTACTAAATTTGGTATAACAAGAGAAGCAAGCGGTTGGCAACATTCATCCCTCGGGGGGTGTCTAACCTGGTGTTATGGTGTGTTTGACCCTAAAGTAATTTTACGCTGGAATATGCCTTTAAGGGATCTGATCTGGAAAGTCTCCCTAAAGGCTTTTCGTCTCACGAAGCGAGTGGATTTTACTGGAAGGTTGAAAGCTGATACTGTTAACACAAATATATCATGCACTAGGCTGGACTCGTTTAATTATTTAACTCCAAATGATAGACAAATATGGTTCATAATGGATTTGCTAAGGCTAACAGAATACTGGTGAATACTGGATTGTACAACAGGAGCACCTAGACATTTCCAGGCGGCCTGGGGGTGAGCAGTCACTGCAAACAGCCACAATGAGTGAATAGATCTTTCTGGATGCATGCATCATCATATGTGAGAGTGTATTAAGGTTGGCTTGTTGTGCTCAGTCCTGAATTTTAACATTATAGAGTCTGAATCGATGGAAAGTAAAACAGCAACAGCTTCGTACTCCAAATATTTCAGTAACAGGTGTATTTTATTTTCTCCAGGATCCCGTAAATGTACCATATTTTCCCCGTTGAACAGAATTCATCACACAACGCGCCACTCTCTGTCCTCAATGCAGCCTCTCAAAGCCGCCCACAGGCACGGATATTTAGTAGTACACCAACAGTGTTAAATAAGCAAGGCTCAAGTAGGCATGATGATTTCGCTGGCTGTGCCAAAAACGGAAACTGTAAAGGGAAATTGGGCTATTTATAGTTTCTCCATGCAGATTTGAATTATTATTAATGGAGTTCCTGTTATGTGTGACTGAGGACCTTGTAAAAGAGTTGAAAATATCTTTAAAATATTGGTATTCAAGCACAAATTTACTATAAAATAAACGTCTTTTTAAAGATGTTTGTGTGAGGGCCTCATTTATCCTCATTACCTTGTGCGCCTGGCTACAACCATGTCCAAATCCTCTGAGTAGTGTGTGTGTGTGACTGTGTGTGTGTGTGTGTGTGAGGGTGAGACAGGTTTGTAAGGGTCTCTTTCTTCAGGGTTGTCGAGCACAGGTGACCATAGGAAGTTGTTTTCCAGAGCTTTTCCAGCGGTATGTGTGTTCAGCTTAAGACCGTCTCGCCACAGGAACGTCCTCTTTGGGCAAACACACACACACAAAAAAAAAAAACTTTCACACACACGCGCCTAAATGCCGACCTGCAAGGGTGCAAAACGCCGAAAAGATAAGAAATCCAGAGTTTGTGTAAACGCGCATTGATTACTTTTAAATGGATTTTAACTAGCAGGGAAGTGCCGCTCTTCTTACACCAAATGAGCTGAAGTGAGACTCTGTTTTCTATATTAATCAAGCAGGAATTCCAAGGTGAAGGAATTCTGTTGATTTTGGCTCCGGGCCCGCCGCAGCACTACTCCTTAAGATTCCTCCCACTGAAATGACATGTTAAGTGTGCGGCTTGTTTTCTCTAGCTTTGGGGTCCCTACAATGAGGCAATCTCTGTATAACGCAGAAGAAGTTGGACATGTAAGCGCTGCGAACACTCACCTATGGTTTGTATCAGGCATTTTTCAATTGTAGAGACTTTACGGCACACTTGTTGAATTCAAATCACAAGTTTAAAGATGCTGCAGTTGTCGTCACAAATAAAACCTATGACGCGTTCATGCGTCCCATCTCCGAGACACAGCGGGTGGTCTTTTCTGATGTCGTACAGTCTGACAGACATCTAAGGATCAGCGTTTTTAAGAGATGTCCTGTCAACTCCTACTAACAGCTGCAGTATGTGAAAAATCATTGGTGGATTGGGTAAAAAATGAGTATAAAATATATATAATTAAAACAGCTGCAACGAAGATACGCACTTATAATACAAAATACTGCATATGCAAGATTGAGGGAGGGTAACTTGCATCGATGAGCTCTACTGGTAAGGTTGATTTCTCAGTATTTTCAAGCTCCTGTCAGGAACCTTTTGGTTTGTTGCCCCCTGTAGATATTGTTTACCTTTTCTCTTTACGCTCAAGTAATTATTTGACAAAAAAACTCATAATTCTGACTGTTTCGATGATCAAGTTGATTATCTTCTCTTAATATCTGACCTGAAAAATGCTCGGCTGGTACCTCCCCCCTCATGCATGTTTAAGGCAGTAAACATTATAATATAAATATCATAAAACTTGTTTCTGATGCTCCTTTTTGTATCATAAATATGGGTTACAGTCGATTTTCCTTGCTACTTAGTCCTCAGTAGTGCAACATAAGTTTCAGGGTTTTTTAGGGCCCGAGTCTTATTGTAATCCAAGGGGTTCTCGATTATTATTATTATTATTATTATTATTATTATTGTTCTTATTGTTGTTGTTTTTCAGCCTCCAAAAACGCAAATTTGACCTCCTGTATGGCCTCGAAGACTCACGAAAATTTGCAGGCAGGTCAGGCCCGGAGAAAATCACAATGTTTTAAAGTGACCTAAAAAAAGCTAGTGCACCCTACAGAGCGCCACGAACGTCGACTTTGTCCGATCTGTTTGAAATATTACAGGCATGTGTATCTCAACGAGATCTTTGATTTTGCATGCTTGGACTTTTCTCTCAGATGCACGGCTAAAGAGTTATTCCGCTGTTTTCGGCCGATTTTTGGCCATTTGCATATGTCATGCCAAACGCTACCTGTTTCTGTTTCTAGATCATTTATACCTGTTTTTTTTTGTTGGAACTGATGTTTTTTTCTCTTTTATATTTTTCTTATACTTGTCTTCAATACTGTTCTTCTCTTGCACTGCTCTTTCTGTTTTTTTACCATAGTTCTTTATCTTATTTATTTGTTGTTTGTACCCAGTATGAATGTGTATGTTGTGTGTACCGCTGCTGTTAACGACTTAATTTCCTCACTGAGGGATGAATAAAGGAAAATCTAATCTAATCTAATTAGCTATTTCTTTGATTTTAATGCCTGTTGTGAATGTACATATCTGTTTCTACCTCAATTCGTTAAACACTGTTACCGTAAACGTATTTTTCGCACCTTAACAATATTCTTCTTTACTCAGTGCTATATTGCAACAGGTTAATGTCTACCTTTGGCCCTGAATGAGGATAATTTTTTAAAATATCCCTATTATTGTAGTTCTTTTTTGCTGTGAGTGATAATTCCTTATTAATAAAGTTAAACCTTTTGTGAGAAACTTTAGGTCTGTGTCAACTTTGGCGCCCCCTGTGGAAAAAGCGGTTTTTGTTTATCTTGTCTTGTATTTTATGTGGACTGTTTCTTCAGCTGCTTGCATCCCCAGTCTTGTTGCTAACGGTTACGTTTTCTTTTGTCTGTCATTGGAGGGCATCGGGGTAAATTTCTGCCTATTTCATGCTGATATAATTTTTTAATCTGTCAATGGTTCATCCCCGCAAAATACTTGCCCACACATTAATATTGATGGAAGCTACGGCACCAATCTTTCTCTACTGGCTATGATGTTGACTTTAAAATAATGTCCTGTAAGGCTCTTAATGTTACTTAATTTGACTCGGATTGGATTAATTCATACTGGACAATCATAGTTACTCGTCTCTGCTGCCCTAAGGATTCACACAGCATATCCCAGCTGTAAAGCAGCATGCCTCAGCAAACAGAGGAGTCTTTATCTTGTGAAATATTGCACCTGTCCAAAGCAAAGTGGACCTCTCTCTCTCCCTCCCTCCCTCTCTCTCTTATTCTCTCTTTCTCATAAGGTGCCCTCTCCCCCCTGTCTTGTCACTGGCTGTTTGGAATCTACAAGAATCTCAGGCATGCTGACAATCTCTGCAGCCATTGACAAATTTCTGTCTTCAGGCAGGGGAAACAAACACATATGCACTCCTGGGTGCTCACATGTGCGTACACACACCTCGGCTGGGCTGGGCTGTCATCGTCAGCTTGTCAGCGCGCTGCACCTGAGAATGGTAACAAGAGCGGCGGTGCCAGAGCTGCCTGACAGACTCAAGAGATCAATTTCCTTGAGCGGGGAGAGAGCAGCAAGAACTTACAGAAAACTCCAGGACTTTAGAGCACACTTTAACATATCTCCCCTAAAAAGAAGCAAAAATATCAAATCTTTGTGAAGATATTGTGAAACTCGACTTCTATGTGCTCACCTGTCCAATAAAAGACAGATAGACGCCGTGTAAAGCCTCTCCCCGTTTCCTTTGCAACATGTACACGCATGCATTTTGTGGTTCGCACTTCACAATAATGAGTCACTCGGAGGTGTCAAAAGCATAAGTACAAAGCCACAGCACACTTGGAGGCTGTAATCGCTCCTAGCTTACATATAATCTGAATGCAACACTTATCTAGCATTAGAAAATCTTCGAGTTAACCTTCGAGTTTAGGATAATGTGCAGAATCAGCCTAGAAACCCTGCCATTGCTTAGAGATCCATTAAAGTAATATCCTCACTGTTTGCAAGATGTTGTTTTTATTTTTTAAAATGGACAAAAAGAAAGAAAAAAAACTCAATTTTTGTCCTTTTATCTCGAAGACACACCAAACATGCAAAATCTCCTTAAACAGAGGAGAGTTTTAATAGAGCTGAATGGCACACAGGTTGGTGTCATTTGGTGTCGGTGCAAATTTGACTTGCAAATATACCCTTCACAGTGATGTGATTTGAATAATTCTATCAGATCTTAAAAACACTGTTCAGGTGGCGAGCTCTGTGATATCAATAGGTTGAATAGGCGACCTGCAAAAAAGGAGAAGTTGGATTGCAAATTCGGCCCGTGTTGAAAATAATGTGGTCAAACATGAAAATGTATTTGCCTGGTGCGTGCAAGAGCGCAGTGACGGTCTTTTCAGAACCAACTCAGGCCCCACAGAGTTTTTAACCCACTGAATGATAACACACAACCCTCCCAAACACACACACACACTTACACACATAATTGCCATCATCACACGCATACACACAGCAAATGCACGGTATAGAGAGCTGTCAGACCGCACTAATTCCTCTTTTTATGTGTGTCTGTCCTACTGTGTAGCGCAGGGATCAGGATTGCCTTTCAGGATAACAACTGAAGCTCTAAGCTTTTAGTGTGTGTGTGTGAGTGTGTGTATCTGGGTGAACAACAATTGGCCGCTAAGCTGCAAAGAGCCTTGCAGCCACGGTGTCGCCAACAAATATCCACTGGCTGTCAGCAAAGGACTCTGTGTGTGTGTGTTTGAGTGTGTGTGTGTGTGTGTACGCATGCAGATGAGCCAACTTCCTGTGTTGGATTGAAGTGCTGCTATTAGAGTCAGGTCTCATTGTCTAAGCCATGCAGGACTTGACTGAGCTCCACGTGTGCAGGAATATGCATGCATGGATTAACATAATTGCATGTGCATACATGCACACAGGTCCAGTATGTTTCCAGTATAGGCTTAACTAACCAGCAACCCTGTCTTGACGTCACTAAACTTTACACTCCTAGGTGTCTCTCTTGCTCCCTTCGTGTGTTTCCTTTGCCCTCCTGGCTGCTGTAATCTTCTTCCTTAAGGCATAACAGTAGTTCAGTTGTCAATGAGATATAACCTGGTTGCATAAGACCTTTAACTGCAGGCGTGCCCTGTAATTCATTGTATACGGTTGTATACTCTTAAAAAGCTGCGCTCGTGAATGCACAACTTCAAGAAGTGCATTTAAAACTTTACAAATTCTATAGTTTTGGCACTTAACTGTGTGAAATCATGAACTTTTTACTTACTTGATGTAACTCAGTAGAATAAAAAGTGATAGTAATAGGGGACAAACTCAGTGGAAAATTCAACCACAGTCAGGTGGGGGTTGAGCTACAGGTTGAGAGCTCAGTGTGTGTGTGTGTGTTTCTGCCGCCCACATCGGAAAACAAAAAAGAAAAGTTCAGCTTCTGAGAAAGTGTCTTCACCAGTAGAAACTGAAAAGAAAGGTGAAGGGGACTCTTTTTTTTTCACAACCACAAACTCATGTCTCTTTTTACAGCCCTGTTGATGTGTTAAACCAACTTCTCACAAGCCAAACCTTCTCTGTGTTCTGGGCATATATGTGTCGCTCTCTCTCTTTGTACGTTTCTGAGAACCCTGAACGCGACATCACAAAAGAACATGCGAGTTTATCTCATTCTGCGCACAACAGCTCACAAGTCCAGCCTGTTTCAGGAGGGTGATTTACCACAAAAGAGAAGACAACATGCTCACTCAGATAATCTCTCTCACGACCAAAAAGTGTGAAAGTGTACGGAAAAATGTCAAACCAAGATTTAACACTCAGCAGATTACACAAACCCTTAAAAGGTTCTTAAAATTACACAGAATTTAGAATTTCCTTCAAAAGTTCGCAGCTTATTTATGAATTTATAATTTTCTTAAAACAGTAGGGACTAGTTTGCTGTTTGTGTCTAAATTTTGGCTTTTCTATGATGATGGTTAAATCACATTTGAGTGTAGACTTGTTAAGAAAGCAACCATCAACTTAAACAATTGTATGTGAAAACTGAAATAAAGGTAATGGCAGTGGGCCACGGACAGACCCCTGTGGTATCCCATTTCAAAATTTTTAGAATGGATACGACAGCAACGGTGTCATTTATAGTGTAGACTTTACTTTTTTTATTATTTTTTATTTTTTTATTTTTGTAGGCCAGCTACTGAGTGTAGACTCGCTAAAAAAGCAGCCATCAACTTTAACAATTATGGGTATGTGGAAACCTTGCAAGAATACAAATAAAAATGACAACAGTGGGCCGAGGACAGACCCCTGTGGTATCCTATTTCGAATTGTTAGACTGGAAACTATAGCAACAGCAGTCCAGTCTGAGGCACACCTAGACTTGTCATTTATGGTGTAGACTTGACATTTTTTTTTTTTTTTGGGTGGGCTAGCTACTGAGTGTAGACTCGCTAAAAAAGCAACTATCAAATTTTTATTAAAAAATTAAATAACAATTATGAGTATGTGAAATACAAATAACAACAGTGGGCCAAGGACAGACCCCTGTGGTATCCCATTTCGAATTGTTAGACAGGAAACTATAGCAACAGCAGTCTGAGGAACCACCTAGACTTGGAATTAATGTGATAGACTTTACCTTTTTTTTGGTGGGCGAGCTAATTAGAAAAAAAAATGCAAAAAATTCAACTTTTTTAGGTTTAATTGGACTGAAATTAATCTTTTAGCTCTCTAATGCCCTCTCAGATCAATAACATTAAAATTGAAATCAAAGTGTAAATTCTGAATATGCAGGAGTTACAAAAATTATAAAACAGGGAAAAATGTTTTCATAGGGTGCTCGTTTATCCCTCACTACTCAGCACTTCCTCTCTCTCTCTCTTTCTCTCACAGAGCTGTTTGATTGCTTAAGCCCGGCCATCAGACAGACAGACAATGCGTCCATGAAGAATAGCTTTGCTTCCTTCCTGTCTTCCTGTGCTGCGTTCTGCCTTGGTGAGCAGGGTGAATAGGCTGCTCTGCCCCGCAGCCGCCATGAGCCGCAGGGGCCACGGCGGCTAAAATCAACAAAGAGAGCCGTTCTGGGGGCTTTTTTTTTTTTTTCACATCCCCTCCTCCTCCTTCCCTGATTGCTGCCAAATCACTACGAGGGCTGAGAAAATAAATAACCTCTCCCTGTGTTTCTTGTCATGATCATTTGTCCACAATTTTTCACTTTTTTCCCCCCACATCATTGGTTAATAAAGGTGTTATATGAAGATTTTTGGGAGGTTACATACTCCCTGTATAACAAAGTGGAGTTAAAACTAGCAGAAAATGAGAAATTGATAATTTGTTGGAAAATTGTGTTTTTATGTAAAAACTCCTTGTTTTCTTTCAGTTTGGCTACATTGGCGCCCCCTGTGGCCAAAGCAATCATGCCCTACCTTATCCTATATATGCCTAAGCAGTGTTCTGACAAAAAATGTCATTATTCTTATCATTAATTGTGAATATTAATACAAGAAATGAAAAACCAGGGCTGACACCTACCCTCTTGAACAAATGTTAGGCATTAAAAATTACAGTGTAAAAGTCATCAAGTATGTAGCTAATGGTCAAGTTTGCTTCTGCATATCATAAGAAGGCATCAATATGAATTTCAATCAATTTTATACGCATCAAAAAAACCCTTATAGGAGCTTTAAATGTCTATTAACGTTTTACTTAAAAGACAAAAAAGAAGTTACTTGGATATAAAATAGTTTAAGCTTATCTTACTTGTTCTTGTTAAGCAAAGACAGGACTATTTTATATTCAACACATCCAACTGATTGGCCTTCCCACCCCCCAAAAACACTGCCATCTCCCTATGGGAATACCAAGTAGGAGCAGGTAGCTGAGAGGAGCATTGGGGAGCCAAAATGACCCCCCGACTATTGAAAACAGGATGAATGCATGCCGGGTTGAATACTGGGGGTAAACTGTTAGGTCTTTGTCATTCAAAGTGATGCTTTTAACCCTTTGCGCTCCCTCTTCCTTAACAGCCCACCCCCTCCTGCTCCTCACCCACCCCTGCGCTCTTCATTCACAGCTGAGACAATGGAGCGAGAGAGGAGGCCTGCGGCTGGAAAAATAAAGACTAAACACAAGATCAACTTTCTCCTTTCTGTCTCTAATGGGATTCTGCCTGTTATGTTTCCCTCTCCTCTGCCAGTGCTGTAAAATAGGTGAAAGTTGATAATTATGTAAAGCAAACCCCTGTCAGTCAAAGGCGAGGGGTTGAATAACAAACAAGTGAGCGCAGGTTGGGCCTCGGCGCGTCAATCACGGCTCTGAATGCATACCGTGCCGCAAACACGTCCGTATGCTGTCAACAAGTGTCAGGGACTAATGTTTCAGGCTTATGTTTCGCCTGCAGGGAAATTCAAAACCAAGGAATTTCTGAACAAACCTTTGATTTGGAAAAAAAAACGAGAGCAAAAAAAAGGGGTCTAGTGTCTGCAGGATCCCGAGGAATGTGTATGAAATTAACTTAAAGCCAAGCCAGAGCGTAATAGCAGGCTTACACGGGCGCATATTCGCTTAAAAAAAATCAAAATAAAACATTAAGGTGAGGCTGAACCTTTAGCTAAATCACATATAGGTCTTTTTTTTTTTTAAAGGTATAGATTAATGGGTGTGTTTCGCTCTAAATTCAATGTAAACACGATGAAACGATTGTGCTGACCTGACAAAAACGCGACAACAGGCTTGATGATAGCCCTCTTCGAGATGTGCGAGCAGAGGTTCAATTAAAAACGCTGAGAATGGTGCTCAAGTGAAGAAGTCACAATATAGGTGTGAAGCCAGACACCTCAAATCATCCAAAACGCTCTATTTGAACACTTTTAGTGTATAGAAACAGGGATACTAAGTGATATCTTGCTCAACCCTCCTGTTAGTAAAGCTACGGTAGCCTTCATGGGTCACTCTTACGTATACATGAAAGGCTATTTTTACTGTATGCAATCATATTACATCATTTTACAGTCATATTCTATTCCTGTCTTGCCTCTAAGAACTGCCCACTGTACCTTTAATGAGACCACACAAATAGAGTACATAAAAACAACAGGAAAATACCGTCAAACTTCAAGGTTGTTTAATTTCAAACGTTAATATATTTGTCTTCTAATTCATAGTAAACTATTCATCCAGCTTTCGACACTCATACAGGTCACCTCGGTATCTGCGGCCACAGCAGAGGCGACGCATTAACAATGCTTTCTTAAAATAAATATTTTTCATTATAAAATAATAAACCTTCAAATAAATATATATACTTTTAACTTTACACTAAGTAATGTTGGAATTAGAAAATAAATTTCTCATACAGGGTCACTGTACAATTTACAAGTCGAAGGGATAAGACTTTTCCTTTGTAAATTACATTACATGATTGACATACATTTCAGTGAATGTACCAAAGAGTTGACAGATTCATAGAAATGTAGATTTATCAAGGTGCCACTGGAGCGGCAGAAGCTTCACAGTTGAAGAATTACAAAGTATGTACAAAAATAAAACATCTGTTTGACTCTACTTTAAATTTACTACTTTACTCAGTTAGTAAAAGGAGTCTGTTCTTAGAATATAAGTTGTATTAAATGTTAAAAATAAAGGCTATCTGTTTGGAGTCTTGAAGCAACAACACAAGATCGACACTTTTCTTTTCATACCTTTAAACATGGGGAGCGCTTATTTTGGTTTACTTTCAAGTGGATGCTAGGGTGAGTGTGTGCACCGCCAGTGCCTTTGAGAGGAAGGTTTTTGTCAAACAAGATAGAAAACACGAAAACTCAAACACAACAGCATAATTAGCTTGCTAATCAACACTTCAAAACTATTATCCATGAAGTCCATCCATCTGCCTTTCCATCACGATCACAACCATCTCTCCTACGTTTGCTTGCAAGAATCCTCACAGTGGATAGGGTTTGGGTTTTTGCATCGACAGCCCGGTCTGGACGCTCGGTCATAGCAGCTCTGGCACACAGCTAGGCATCCTTTAGCTGGGAGGTAGCACAGGAGACAGGGGAAGAGCAGGGAGAGGAGGGACACGGTAGTCCAGCGCACGCAGCAGTGCTGCTGTGTGCAGGAGAAGGGCTTGTCGGCGCAGGTGTCCTCATCGTCGCTGGAGCAGTGGTAGAAGAGCCCCTTGACGCAGCAGACACACGTCCCATATTCCACCATGTTCTGCATCGAGCACACGCAGCGGTGGCCACACATCCAGCAGGAAGGAAGCACCCGCGGGCGCGTGCACTCGTCGCAACAGCAACGACCGCAGTCTTCACACTTGTTGGAGTGCGCACCTTGATTTTTAGAGCTTCTGCTGCCCGGCGTGGCCACCACAGCCCTGGACTCGTTGTTCAAGGGTTTCAGCTCTTCTGAAATGATCTCTGTAGTTGTCGGCTGGGTTCTGATTATCTGGCTACTGCCTGCCAGGCCGACGAGGAGCCTCTGGCCTGAGGAGATGCTCCCCTCACTGGTCCTCTGCGAGTCTTCAGCACTGGATAACCGTAGCGTACTCTCCCTGGAAGAAACAGACGTGTTTGTGTTTCCATACTGGGTCAATGAATGCAGGTTGAGGAGGTTATTATGCCTCTCTTCCTGGGTCTCCTGCTGCTCGCTGGTCCTTGAACCTACTGATGAAGCCGAGTCACTCTTCTGTTGCCTAAGCTGTGAGGCTGGAGACCTTTGGGCCACTGTGGGCCCCTCTGTATACTCATTACTACTCCCAGTTATCCTGATCTGATCCAGAGATAGCACTGCTGAGGTATGGGGTGGCTGCCCATTGGTGAGCCCAGAATCTGATGGACTATCTTGGATTGGCGGAGGCTGTGGCTGCGGTCTCCCTTCGCCGAGCTGCCTGTCTGGCAAGCGGGTCAATGACGGTGACCACCCGCGGCGCCCTCCTCCTCCCTCGCTGTCGTTCTGACTTCTGGAATCCATCTCGGGACTGAAGGGCTGCTCTGGCTGGCATGGGACACATCTGAAGTCCTGCAAACGAAACAAGACATTTTAAGTCAGTGTGTGCCGAGCCATGCAAATGATACCATGCAAATCATAACAGATATCTGTACAGGCACCACTATGGAAATGAGGCATCATCATCACAGCGGTGGAGACGGAGATGAAAAGCTTGATTACAAAGGTGGTGCAATGTTTAAAGTCTGTGTGAGGGATGTTTGGGCCTCTGGAGTCGGCTCTCTCAAGTTACTTCTTCTCTAAACAACTGTCCTGGACATAACTTCAGAGTGAAGTAATCATCTCCATCGTGTCGCTTTATACTTGTTATAACCCTCTGACAACACCAGAGACGTCCAGATTTCACACGTCATATCGAATCAATCCTGTCTGCGGCAACATGCCCTCTTTGGTTTGGTTACGACCAAGGAGGCGTATAAAAACAGTTGGCAAGACGTGTTAGCAAAAGCCTAACGGGATGTACATTTAACGATTAAATACTGTCATTTTTACAGCTCTTTACTGTTTATTTATTTGATGGAAATGTTTTGAGACTAGTTTTGTTTCGTTCACGACCTGGCTTTCTAGCTACAGCCAAGATAGCGCAACCGTCATTTAAAAACCAAAAAATCAACTCTAAATCGATCAGATTGTGAATTTAGCTGGTGGCTTTGCGAGAGAAAAGATCTGTGCTGGACCCAACTAGAGTGCAAGGTGGAAACGCAGAATTGGATGTTGTCTTAAGCCTTATCTTGAACAAAGCGATTCAAAGTTTTTGATGTTGGTGTTCAAACAAAAATGTTGTTGATCTTGTCGGGTAAATTTTAAGCTAAAACATAAGAAATACGACTACAAAGTAAGCCGTGTATCCTTTACATTGATAGACGATATTTCCTGTTCACTCTTCATTCTGGGTGACATTTTCTGAATTATCGCAGTCGTCAATCTTCAGCGTCAAATCTTAAAGCTTTATCTTACTCTCAAAATCGCACTCTACTCGATCTGCATTGGTGCTTTCAAACCAGGGTAATTTTTTCACATATTTTGCTACTTAAGTGGTGACATCTCTGGGATCTGCTTACGTTTCTGATCAGATATTCAACTTTATGCAACGGCAAAATGTTTCCAGTAGTTTACTGAGCACTTAAACCACATCTCATGTTGCAACACCAAAAATATGCTTTCTTTCACTTGAAAACCTTGAAAAATACAAACGTCTCATCGTTTAGCATTCAGTTCAATCATTATTTGGCACAAAGGGTGACAATGTGATATGCTAATGTTTATTCACTCCCTTTTTTCACCAGCATATCATGCCAAAGAAAGAAAGAGACAGTAGTATCCTTAATTCTCCTTCCTTGAGGTAATTAGCTTTCAAATCCTCCTTTTAATGTCAATACAGGAAAGGGCTTTGTTTGACGCATGAAAACAGCCTGTAGCCACCTTCCCCTATTTTAACACATTTTTACATACTGACACCGTTGAAAAGCAGATGAGGGACGAGATAAAAAAAAGTCTGGTTGGTGCATGAATGGGTCCATGTTAAGTGTGAGTGATGTGTTCGAGCGGTGGGGGGTTTCTTTGGGCTTCTAAGCCCCAAATGAAGGGCTTACAGGCAAATTAAAAGATAGTGGGGGGACGTAAGGGCCCTTATTTACTTACAGGGCCTTGGTGCAGGCTGGATGATGAGTGGGGGGCTGGCTGGATTTAACTAAGGCAAAGTGATGACTTTTATGCACACATCATAGACAAAAATCATACAGTCAATATAAACCACATGAATACAAAGATTCAGCAAAGGTGGTGTTTGCATTTGGAAAGTATATAGAGGGCCAAGTTAAAGGGTGTAGCTTAGATACATGCAAACAAACAAACTTTGATTATTTTCTAATCAAACTGAACCCAGCTGTGAGATAATTCATTTGCCAGTGCACACCTGCGATTAATCGATTAAATTTTCAATGTTTAAGATGATAAATAATGAGTATAAAGTAAGACAACACCCTGTTTTAAAACATAAACATTAATCTGTCTCCCCCAAGAGTCGACTAGTTGGTCGATTAAAGCATGTAAACTTCATAAATTCAACTTTAACAGAAAAAAAGGTTGCTTTAAATCTTTCCACGACAGTCCGTGGTTGACAAAAAGGATCAACATACCGTGCTTTCGACGCTATAGCCCCCGCTTAGATGAAATAAATCCAAATGGAGAGAGAGTCGAGTCCCTTCATCGGTTACTCAGCCTGGGAAGTCGATGATAAAATCCATTGAGAAAGTTTTCATACGGCGGCGCTAAGACGTAAATCCCATGTTTTGCGCAGGAGCACGAGGCTTTAAACGGGCGAAAACATCACTCACCCGAGTGTAAAACTTCACTCAAGTCCACACTTCTTCAAAAACGAGGAAGAAAACGTAAAAAAGGAGAAACGGGAGCGCCGCGGAGTGTTTTCAATCTGGTGTGTTTTATCAGCAAAGCTCGGTGGGCTTGCGAGTACTTTTTCTGATGTGTGAGTTTTTTTTTTTTCACTCTTTCCGGAGGGGAGGTCGGGATTTGGGCTGTAAATGGCGTCAAGCTGAAGGGGGAACAGAGCGCTTGTTGTTGCAGCGGATATCTCGCATCCGGTGTTCAGCCATTGGCTGTTAGAGAGCAGCCATTCACACCAGTTTGATCAATGCTGTGGCTGGAGCCAAACACTGCCGGTCAACCACTGTGGACATAGGGGGGCTTCAGCAGAGGGGCCCTTATTCTGCACCGGTCATATGTGAAGCAGGACTTTATAGGCAACTACTCACTAAAATCAAAGTGTAAACAGTCATCTATATTTACGTGGAAAGGTTAGAGACTTTTTAACTTGTTTTTCATTTTCCGGGACCTTTAGATTTTCCTCCCTCTAAAGTCCCTCGTGGCTGTTAAAAGCCACTTTTTCTGTCGGCTGTAAAATCATATTGGATTAATATTTTTTTCAGATTTTTTTTCACAAATTTCTTATTTTACTTCTGCCCTGTTCGAAACTAGCAAATGTTTCATTGAAAACAATTTTTTTTAACCCTTTAAGTGCCAATTTAAGACAAAAAGTCACAAATTTAGCAAAAATTGAAGGAAAATGACCCATTTTTTTTATAAGACATGATCAGAAACTGGTAATCTCTTGCAGGGTATTAAAGTCTTGAATATGTCAGAGATTAGTAATATAATTTACTTATATGCATTTTCAGTTTTTCTGTAGCATCAGATTTAATGAAAACTGCCTTTGGCGCCTCCCAGTGGCCAAAACCACTATTTCTGCTGTAAAATCATATTGGATTAATATTTTTTTCAGATTTTTTTATACATTTCTTATTTTACTTCTGCCCTGTTCAAAACTAGCAAATGTTTCATTGAAAATAAAAATTTTAACCCTTTAAGAGCCAATTTAAGACATAAAGTCACTTAAAAAGCAAAAAAATGGAAGGAAAAAGAAGGAAAATGACCCATTTTTTAAATAAAACATGATCAAAAACTGGTAATCTCTTGCAGGGTATTAAAGTCTTGAATATGTCAGAGATTAGTAATATAATTTACTTATATGCATTTTCAGTTTTTCTGTAGCATCAGATTTAATGAAAAACTGCCTTTGGCGCCTCCGAGTGGCCAAAGCTACTTTGTCTGCTGTAAAATCATATTGGATTAATATTTTTTTCAGATTTTTTTCATACATTTCTTATTTTAATTCTGCCCTGTTCAAAACTATCAAATGTTTCATTAAAAATAAAAATTTTAACCCTTTAACGGCCAATTTAAGACATAAAGTCTCTTATGAAGCAAAAAAATGGAAGGAAAATGGAAGGAAAATGACCTCTTTGCTTCATAAGAGACTTTATGTCTTAAATTGGCCCTTAAAGGGTTAAAATTTTTATTTTCAAAGAAACATTTGCTAGTTTTGAACAGGGTAGAAGTAAAATAAGAGCTGTATGAAAAAAAATCTGAAAAAAATATTAATCCAATATGATTTTACAGCAGAAATAGTGGTTTTGGCCACTGGGAGGCGCCAAACGCAGTTTTTCATTAAATCTGATGCTACAGAAAAACTGAAAATGCATATAAGTAAATTATATTACTAATCTCTGACATATTCAAGACTTTAATACCCTGCAAGAGATTACCAGTTTCTGATCACGTTTTATTAAAAAAATGGGTCATTTTCCTTCATTTTCCTTCCATTTTATTTGCTTTTTAAGTGACTTTATGTCTTAAATTGGTCCTTAAAGGGTTAAAATTTTTATTTTCAATGAAACATTTGCTAGTTTTGAACAGGGCAGAATTAAAATAAGAAATGTATGAAAAAAAATCTGAAAAAAATATTAATCCAATATGATTTTACAGCAGAAAAGGCAGTTTTGGCCACTGGGAGGCGCCAAAGGCAGTCTTTCATCAAATCTGATGCTACAGAAAAACTTAAAATGCATTGAATTCAATTATATCACTAATCGCTGACATATTCAAGACTTTAATACCCTGCAAGAGATTACCAGTTTCTGATCATGTTTTATTTAAAAAATGGGTCATTTTCCTTAAATTTTTCCTTCCATTTTTTTTTGCTTTTTAAGTGACTTTATGTCTTAAATTGGCCCTTAAAGGGTTAAAATTTTTATTTTCAATGAAACATTTGCTAGTTTTGAACAGGGCAGAAGTAAAATAAGAAATGTATGAAAAAAAATCAGAAAAAAATATCAATCCAATATGATTTTACAGCAGACAAAGTAGTTTTGGCCACTGGGAGGCGCCAAACGCAGTTTTTCATTAAATCTGATGCTACAGAAAAACTGAAAATGCATATAAGTAAATTATATAACTAATCTCTGACATATTCAAGACTTTAATACCCTGCAAGAGATTACCAGTTTCTGATCATGTTTTATTAAAAAAATGGGTCATTTTCCCTCAATTTTTGCTAAATTTGTGACTTTTTGTCTTAAATTGGCACTTAAAGGGTTAAAAAAACTGTTTTTAATGAAACATTTGCTAGTTTCGAACAGGGCAGAAGTAAAATAAGAGATTTGTGAAAAAAAATCAGAAAAAAATATTAATCCAATATGATTTTACAGCCGACAAAACAAGTGGCTTTCAACAGCCACGAGGGACTTTAGAGGACGTTTTTCTGTCCTGGCTTTATTATTGACTTGGTGAAAATTTTGAATTCATGTTTTCAAATAAAATTTCAAATTAAGCTTAGAAAAAAAAATTCATCACATTTGCTGCAGTAAAAAAAAAGTTATATCCAAATTAGTCTCTAGCTCTATCATAAATTGGCTGTTAAAAGCCCGAAGGTTCCGGAAGGGTTAAAGACACTATGAGGAGTTGGTAACGCTTTACAATTACCGTAACGTACACATGGTAAATAGACCATTTATGAGATAGTTTATTCATGTTTAATCATAATTTATAAATAGCATATAGACCATTAATAAACCGTAAATTTTACAATTTTTAAAAACCCAACCCTAACCCTAATTTTACAATAACCATCTAAGTAATGTTTATGGATGGTTTATATACCACTTATTAATCATTTACAAAGTATTACAAACATCAGTTGTAACCTTACAATAACCAAATAAGTAATGTTTAGGGGTAGTTTATAAACCACTTATTAATCATTTACAAAGTATTACAAACATCAGTTACGCCTTTACAATAACTAAGTAATGTTCATAGATGGTTTAAAAAACAAATATTAACCATTTACAAAGTATTACAAACATTAGTTGCAACTTTACAATAACTAAGTAATGATTATTGGTGGTTTATAAACTATTTATTAATCATTTACAAAGTATTACAAACACAAGTTGCATCTAAACAATAACCATCTAAGTAATGTTTGTAGGTGGTTTATAAACTACTTGTTAATCAAAGTATAACAAACATCAGTTGCAACTTTACAATAACTATCTCAGTAACGTTTACTTTAAAAACCAAATATTAATCATTTACAAAGTGCTACTGACACACAACTTAATCGAGATATTTTACAACCAATATTTAAACCCTATATAAACCATTAATAAATAATCCATTAATAATTAGTGAAAATTATATACCATAAATTCATTTGTTGTTAGGGGTAAAGTAACTATTAACTTACATTTGCCATTTATAATTGGTCTATATGCTGTTTTTAAATGATGATTACACATTAATTAACTATCTATGTACTATGTATAAATTATGGTTATTGTAAAGTGTTACCAAGGAGTTTTTGATAGGTTATGAAACAGGCCAAAATAAGCAGTCATGGGTTTCTATGACGTAAAAAAGCAAATGAAACCATTTGAGACAACACCAACATTTTCAATACCCTATTTTTTAGTGCCTGTAACTGCTGTAAGGAGGGTAGGTGCACTGGAGGAACAGCCTTTGTTAGTGTTTCCACAGGAAGTATACCACTTAGAGAAGTAGGCTACACCAGGTTCCCTAGAGGAGCTTTAACATGTATGTTTCCAATAAGAAACTTTTTTGTAGACATCGGTGCCTCAAGTATTTAAATTCCTATTTAACTGAATTTGAGGGAAAATTACTGTCACCAGAAAGCTGTAATTCCATCGCAGGTTCACATCTAACATGTAAAATATGAGGTTAGTCATAAAACACACTCTATCTCTCACATTTAACTACATTATAGTCCATACAGAGAGTAAAAGAGTGAAAAATCGGAGAAACTATGCATTAAAATTCTGCTTAAATAGGAGTAATCACCGTAAAATTCACGCCTAAACACTTAAAATGTAGGTAAAGGCTTAAAGTAACAAAAAAGAGGGAAAATTATCAAATAAAAGTACCTAAGTGATAAACTTTTTGCTGAATTCTGCCTCAAGGTTTTAGTGAACTGGTTTGCTTTTAACTTTAAGGGCAGTGTGTTGACATATCTGCACGCTTTAAACTGTTTGGGTTGCTTTGGATCTGATATGAAGTTTATATCAGCAACAACCCATGAGCAGGCCAAGAGTCTTTTCTTGCAGCTGTTGTGAATAACAGTGCAGCGGCGCCCCTGTGTGGACTTCCTTCAACACTACAGGCTGTAATCTTGAATCCTGAACTGACTCCACAAGATGGAAAAACATGAAATAAATGCTAAAAGCTTGACTATAAAATGTTTTTGTGAAAAAGCTGTTAAGTATATGTATCACAGCCACTTAATGGTATATTAATGAGTCTGTGTGGGGAAAGGTATACGGTGTATCAGAAAAATGAATCAGTAAGTTTCATTAGGCAGGAGAAGACACGGTGCTCTTTTAAAACGTCAAGTCACCCACTCACAGAAACATTTTACCTATCAGAGACTTCTCCAAAAAAACATTTAAAAAGACCAATTATCCCGTGTTTAGCTAGTTCGGGACACAGACAAAAAGAAAAGACCTTCAATAAACACAAAGAGAGTTTCGACATCTCTCTCCGACTTCTCTTATTAAATAAGACGATTCCAGGCAGTGGAGCTGTCAGTGCCACACCTCAGGGAACAATGGTTTTAATAACCAGAGTTTCACACCAGCAAAACTTCCTCATTCTTTTGAAACAATGTCATTTCCCCCTCCTGTTTCACTGATGCTCTTCATGAAACTTTAAAGTGTTGGTTCTGGTTCATGTTACTCTCACAAT